CATGCAAACATTCAACAAGAGCTGCCATAGGTGCAACCTTTTACCATAGGGTATGAAGATTTTACCACATGGAAGTCCATGTGTTCACATGGGCTGGAAATTTTCGCCAACAAATATTGCAAGAAGAGAATCTTAAAGACTGAAGGTTTGGAAAGGAATAGTTGACAGCAGTGCCATTATTGCTCAAAGACAGCAAACTATTATTGGAAAGATCAAGATCCTCAAGGTCTACTAGCTTCAAAAGTATGTTGGGTGTAATAGTGCCACTTAAATTATTTGAAGAAAGGTCGATTATACTAAGATTCACAAGATGAAAGAAAAAGCTAGGGATTGAACCACTTATCTCATTATAGGACAAATAGACTTCTTGTAAAATAAGATTAGGCATCTCAACATGATCAATAGGTTCAGTAAGTCTGTTGTTTCGGAGGTCTAAATAGGATAAAGAAGGCAGAGAAAACAACCAAGATGGTACCCGACCTAACAACTTATTTGATGACAGTAACAAAAAAGTTAGATGGGTGAGGTTGGAGATTGATGGAGGAATTTCACCACCAAAACTGTTATTAGAAAAATTCAAATGAGTTAGCTTGTGCATTTTTCCAATAACATCTGGAATCTGTCCTTGCAAAAGGTTAGAAGAAAAATCTAGGGTAGTTATCTCTGTAATATTTGCAAGAGATTTAGGAATTGATCCATAAAATTGGCAATTAGAAAGGTCCAATTCCTCCAGGAGTTTAAAATTTCTGATTGAATGAGACAACTCTCCTGAGAAGCTTGTGTTTTTGAGATACAAATACTTGAGGGTGCTACTCTAGTTTGACTCAAGCATATTACCTCTTAAGTAATGGTTGTGAGTTAGATCAATAAGTCGAAGAGATGGAAGCTGAAAAACTTGGTTTGGAAAGTTTCCTTACAAATTGCAATCGCTAAGGCTCAAATATTTCAAGGAGGAAGTCAAGTTTAGCAAGGAAGAAGGCACAACCAGAGACATATTCATAGAATCAAGGATAAGAAACTTTAATTCTGTTAAGTTATGCACAAGCATTTGAAACTTTATGTTGTCAAGAAGAAAACCATAATTATCAGAGAGATCCAGCGAAACCAATTTCGTTGGCAAGAAGATCTCATCAAACAGCAGAGAGCCATCCAATCCTGTATTTGCAAGGTTAAAGATTTGTCACATTAGAAGAAGTGAAACCAGTTTTGGAAGCATGGAGATTTTAAACAAAAGAAAAAGAAATGAAATCTCATACTTGAAAGATTAAGATAGGTCAAACTCTTCCAACTGTCAAACCCAAATAAGATGTTAGGATAATGAAAATAATTGTCAGAAAGGTTGAGACTCTGCAATTTCTCAAGGCGGAAGAGACTACTATTTGTAGTTAGACTGGCTTCAAGACAATTACTGCTAAGATCAAGGCCAATCACATGACCTTTCATCCTGTCGCATGTGATGCCCTCCCACAAGCAGCAGTCTTTACTCTCGTTCCAAGTTTGTATTATTGGACGAGGAGTACAAAAATTGCCTTCACTTAAATTTGTAGTGCTTTTGAAATCAAGCAATGCAGAACGCTCTTCCGGACGGCGCAAATGTGGTGGGGAATCAGGAGAAGATTGAGAGGGTGAGGTGCTTTGGACTCGAAACTGTAACAACATGAAGGAAAGGCAGAGGATTTGGGAAAACCATATTAACCTTCCCATTTTCTCAAGGATGAACACAATTCAGCAAACAAAGGAATGATGGATTATTCAAAATTGAAGGGCTGGACACCAGTATTTATAGGCTTCCGTAAAAGTCCTTCAGCTTTCCACTTCTGTGTAAATTTCCATACTAGCACAGTAAGAGTCAATAAACCATTTTCTTTTTTTATAAAAAAAATAGTTTTTACACAGTTGAATTTTGTTATAGGAAAAATGTATATCATGATTCTAAGGAAAAAAAAGTCTTAATTTTAAAATGCTTTATTTTATTTTATTAAAA